TGAGGTCCTCCCAGGCATGCTTGGTTGTACTCCAGTCAACAGGTTTGACACTAGGGCACACCGATGGCATGGCCCAAGCACGGAACTCAGATGCCGCTGAGCCGTCAACTGCCTCAACGGAGATAGTCACATGTTCAAACACTCCGCTCACTACCTCACCACTCAAGACCGATGCGGTTAGTGGCTCACGTGGGCCGTCTGCTCCGACTGCTGAGGCAATGTGCTGCCTAACGTAGCTGGTTGAAGATGCCGGGTCTAAGAGTGCCGTCCCTCTTACACATCTGTCACGGTACTTGACAAGAACCGGCGCAGTCATGAATGACAATGGTGCAGAGGTTGTTTCTTGCTGTTCTCCCGACTTCCTGTCAGCCGCTAGAGTTGTGTCAATGGTCATGGTCGTGTGTGCTGTTTCTCGTCGACCACCGTTGGCGTCCGCTGGCGACCACCTTGCCTGATTAGCTCTGCTAAACTCCCTCTTCGATCGGTCTGAGTGTAGCAGTTGATGGTGGCGCCGCTTGCATATGCTGCAGTTGGTCCTGCACTCGTTGGACCAGTGACCACGGGAGAGACAACAGCTGCACACACCTTTGTGCCCGCGCACAAAATCCCACCGCTTATCGACTGTAAGCCTCTGGAAATCAGGGCACTTCGCGAGATGGTGAGGGTCTCCACAGAGGCCGCAAGGCTCTATTGCTGCCGCCAGAGTGTGCTGCATTGACGGCATGTGTCGTCTGGGGGGAACCGGCGGCCGAACTGATTGGCCTGTTGGCTTGCTGGAGCTGGTTGGTTCCTGAGGCGCGAGACGCTCATCTACACGCGTCATTTTGTGCACGCGTTTCATGACGAACTCTGAGAACGTCTCAGCGTCGCACCGTGTATCGTCGTACTTGTCAAAATATGCCGCCAGCACTGCCCTTGGCACCTTCTGCGTAATCGACAAATACAACTCACGGCCTGGAGTGATGTTGGCCACTTTCATGTTGAGCAACGTGTTTCGCAGTTTCACGGCAAACTGCTTCATTGTTGCCAGGTCTCTCTCGTTTGTAATTCGAGGCCATGCCATGAGCTCTCGCTCCTGTTGCTCTAGGTTGCGGTCCTTCCCACCAAACCATCGATCCAGCTCCTCCATGATGGCAGTGTAGGCGCCTGGACCATCCAGCACGTCTGCAATTAGGTCTGCTGCAGAACCGCCGGATAATGCCTCCCGAAGGTGAGGCAGCTTGTAGTCCTCAGACATGAGCGGGTTCTCATGGACCAAGTGGAGGAATCGCTGTTTCCACTTTAGGTACGACGGTCTTTGACCGTCAAACTTCGGCAAGTCGAGCGGCTTCAGGGACCTGCCCAGGCAAAGCTGGTAGAACGCATCCGGCCAGTTCGTGCCGCCACCAGGTAACACATTCGCTTGCTGTGGTGCAGGTGCCAACGGCACAAACTCTGCTGCAGCATGGCTCAATGCACTCTTGTCAGCTGTTTGCTTGGCACTCTTCCTGACCCTTGGTGCTGGCACTGGTCTGTCATTCCTGGGCTGGGCCTGTGCAGAGGTGGCTGTGGGAGTAGGCTGGTTGCTGGCAGCAGGTGAGTTGTAACGCAATAGGCTAGCTCTGTGCCTATGGGCTGGTCTTTGGTTCATACTACTATGTGCTGTTGTCACATGGCTAGTACCACTCGTCAGGCGAAATTACTGGTCAGTCGGCGTCACGCATTTTTCACAAAAATTTGCGTTTCACCTGCTGGGAGAGTATGCGTGTACTCGAGTCTCATCCTGAGCACGTTTTTTTCTTCTTTTTTTCAGCTCCAGTATAGCTGTATTTTTCATTGCAAAGCCGTCCTCGATTGTTGTGTTCGTTGTTCAAACGAAGGGGACATTCAATCATGAAGGCAGAGGACATAGGAGCCTGATTGGAGTTTCTCGTGGCATAGGACGCCCACACAGAGACACTTTGGAATTTTCTGAATATAAAATACCGTACGCACGATGCTGAGATCAATTTGTGCGATATCAAATTGTTTGTGATCTACCACATCGAGCAGAACGGGATCCAAACACAAGCTTACCGACGGTTAGGCTGCCGACCTGACTGGACAAATGATCCCTGGCTTCACCAGACGCCAGACGTCGGACACCATGTCCTTTGCCGCGACGTCCATCTCCAAAAAGAACTCCATCTTCGTCGTGAAAAGGCTTGAAATACTCAATATTCAACCGAGATTCGCGGTCTCACCCTTTCTCAGATCGAATCATTTTTTGTTGTAGCAGTTGCAGGGCAGATCCCCGCCACTACTTCAACAGAAGATGGCTCCAAAGCATGCCTGGAACGAGCCATATCGAGGTTGCAAGCCACCCCTCTCAGCACTTTTTTTGAAGAAATTCGAAATTTCAATGGTGGAAGATATACTATGAAGAGAATCTCAAAAAGCATATTTCGCGGAGCGATCGCTCAACCTACGTCATTCAAACTTTGCAGGATGGCTCAGACGTACATGCTAGGCATGGAACCACAGAAGATGATATCATAGCTGACACACAGAGTCACACACACAGCAGATTCGTGTGCACAGATACTAAATTAGTGGACGTCGTCATCTTCTTCCCGCTGATCTCAAATGTACGATGACGTGCTATTTCGCCTGACGGCTTGCTGCTACATGTACACTCTGGCTAGTAGTAGTACTAGTAGTACTAGTAGCTGCCAAACAGGGCTGGACTGTCCCACTAGCACTCACACCAGTCAGACTCAGAGGCTGCACTTGAGTGTTCTGCTGCAACACTGACCTGTCACTTGCATGCACTCTGGAGTCAGGAGCGCGTGTGCTGAAAACACCAGAAACCGTGACTGATGCGTCTGCGTCGCTCCTGTACTGTCTGGCCCTGCTCCTCGTTGGTGGCGGGATCTCTCCGTCGGATCGAACCGTGCTCAGGGCGCTGTTCGGGGAACGGATCCGTGCCGATGCCAAAGGTCTACGACTCCGGACCCCAGGCAAACTGCCACCAAGCCCAGTCGCCTCACCGCCACTGAACTCGTCGGAGGAGGACTGCTCTCCATCCGCCGACTGAGCATGGATCTCCGCGTTGCCAGATGCAGAAACTGCAAATTCTACGTGCGGTTCCTCATACTCAGTACTAGTAGCGCCGGTCAAACTTTCACGTTGTTCTGCTGCCCTGGCTCGCTCCACGGCTAGCCTCTTGTTGGCAAGCTTGATCTCAAGGGCCAGTTCCTGGCGTTTCAACTCCGCGATCCGTTCAGCTGCTTCCAGCTCCATCTCTTGTTCTCGTCGTTCGATCGCGGCCCTCCTGCAGCTCTCTAGGCTGCTGTGATCGTACTCGCTGGCCGACTGTGCGGGCGTCTTCGCCTTGCGTCGGCTCCGAACAGATTCCTGGTCGGAGAGGAATCTGGACGGCCTTTGTCCAAAATTCCGTCTGGCGCTCCGTCTTGGAGCCTCTTCTGCCATCGTGCCCTACTCTGGCACGTTCACGGAATCACTACGGATCTCGCTCTTCGGATCCGGCTCGAAGGACCAGTTTATGTTCTGTCGCGCACACACATTGGTGCAGAAGACTGTATCATTGTTCACAAGACTGTTGTTATTCTTGAAGACTGAGTAGCACCGACTCTTTCTGTTCTAAGTACTACTAACTGTTAAAGAAAACTCTCTCAATGCATTACAGCGCAGCCAAACAAAAGGTACCGCAAAAACCTTATGCCGCACGCACAAGAACACAACAACCAAAAAAGCTACACGGTGCAAAGCTGGCTCAGCGAAACTGACTCAAGCGGAACCTAAATCGGAGCTCGCCGCCCAAATACATTATTACATGAGGCATCGAGGTGCAACCAAGCTGAGCGCATACATGGATAGCGATACTACCGAGAGCTAAGGTCAACACAGAGAACAGGCAGTATGACCACAATGGCCTCGATCACAGCTAGAGGACGAGAAAGCAGACCGCAACTGAACAACGACCATTCGACTCAGCACCCTGAAGACTATAACTGGTGAAATTTTAATTTTTGCCTTAACTTCCCCTTTAATGGTGGAAGGTATACGAAGAGAATTTCAAAATGTATTGTTGGCCGCGCGGTCGTTCCACCTACATCATTCAAACTTTGCAGGATGGTTCTGACCTACATGCTAGGCATGGAACCACAGGGTTTGATGTCATAGCTGACACACAAAGCCACACACACTGCACATTCGTGTGCACAGATACTAAATTAGTGGACGTCCTCATCTTCTTCCCGCTGGTCACAAATGTTCTATGACGTGCTATTTCGCCTGACGAACTATGAAATTGTATCTTTACTCAGAAACTTGGATTGTTGGATGCATTGCTATTTTAAATCGTTTCAACTTAAGGTGGCTACAATGGAGTTATCCTTCACTTCTCAAGGAATTGCATTCTTCCTAGTTCAATCGGAATTGTGACTTGTAATACCGATCACTTCTCACTGGAGTTCAGGTACTGTAAAACCTGAAACGTTGCCCCTGTTTTAGTTCGCGATTTGCGAGCACAGAAAAATGTCGCACCTTGATATGTTTGAAATTGGAGTCAACTTCCTTAGCTTCCCTACTACAGTTTTGCGTTTCGCGCCGGCATGCTTTTGCGATCTCACGTCCATCGCGAAAACCGCAAATGATTGCGGGCTTACGGTATCCTGCATGCAGTACTGTTGCCTGATTGGCAACACTACTGTATAAAATTAAAATTAAATAAATTCGATGGGGTTCGCGTACCGGACAGGTCAAGAACAAGGAGTCGCACAACTCCCTGGTCAAGAACCACCTTTCCGCTTCCGTGGGGCGCCACCACCCCATGATCACCCCATGATCAGGCGTACAGTATACCACAGAGAATGTTCTCAGTAGGAGTGGTGGCAATGTCAGGAGTCACCGCTACTGTGTACTTGGTACTCAGGAAATATGTTTTACATTTCCGTTTCCCTTGTGTTTATCATGCACATGCATCCATTTTCTCTTGTGATGTGCTTATAATATTACAGCCCCGGGTCCGGTGGAGCGCTTGACTGCCATGGCAACATCTACCTCTGCGATTCATACACGATGGGCTGCAACACAGTCACCTAACGGTATGTATACTTGGTCCGCGTCAGCGATATTGTCGCTTATCTTTCAGCTTTGTTTATGTGTCGCCAATGCTTACTTGGCAACCCATTTCATCCCAATTTTGGTTAGCAAGTTAGGTGACTAGTACCTGAAAGGTCTAGCTGGAGTTCGAGTGGATTTCGAGAACGACGGGTGGGGGATTCTGATTGATACAGCGCCGCATCAAAATAGATTATCTTGTTACGCTGTGCAGGCAAGAGCAGCGCAAGCCACAAGAAAGTAATCGGTTACTCGGAAGCAGCTCCATTTTGCGGAACGGCCGAGATCGCTCACCTCAGGGATCGCTCATCAAGCTGAGATCGCAGCTCCCTTACCTCCAGCTCAACGCTCGGAGTATCCAGCGCATCGTGGAGATTTGCAAGTACTGTACGCGTCGTCGTCGACGTCGTTCAAAATAAAATCTTTCAAAGAACGGCGTCTGATTCGAACCACACAGGCTGTTGTGCCGCCCATGCGAAGTCCTATAGAGAAGGCGACCGTCACGATCGACTTCTCTTTAGAAAATGGCCAGGCAGCGGAGAGGAAGACAGATGAGCTTGCAAAAGCAAGAGAGTCCATCCCGAGCAAAAATATTTGTCACCAGCGCCGAGAGCAGCGACGAGGAGGACCGAAAAAAAGTAGGAACCCTTCCTTGGGCAATAAATTCCTCACATCTAGTTGTCATTCTATACCTTACCGTCCATCGTACCAAGTTTTATCACTTCAAGTCCACGCGTTCATATCCAAAGGCTAAGTTCAAATTGTCGAAAGATAAGCGACAATATTGCTGACGCGGACCAAGTATGTATATTGAGAGCACGCATTCCTCACTGCTAAACAGAGGGATGCTTTGCCAGTAGTTCATACTGTTTTCTTCATAACTACAGTCATGTATAAATTGTTCGTGCATGTAAGCCGTGTGTGAGTTACAAGTGCATGCGTTATTTTCTATTCACACGAAGCACACCAGCTCGCATATCTTATCGCCCTTACATGGTATCTTGCATTGCTTCTTATTCCAGTTTTCTTTATCCTTACCTTGCCTTGTACTTCCATTTTTGCTTCCCGAGTCATGCGTAGGCTATATGCCATAAGCATACGACGCCTTCTTTTCGCCTCCCATCGATTCCCGTGGCCTCACGTAGTTGCATTGCCTCCACTTCGCTCACCAGAGATTTAGTTTAGCTTCCATGGAGAAGCATTGAATTCCAGAGTTCCGATAACGTGAACATATTGTCTCCTGATCGCGTGTCGGCATAAGAGAAACAGAAAGACGAAGATGCAAAATAAATCACAGCTGGACCATGGTGTGTGCAGTGTGCTGTTTCTCCTTGGAGTTTCATCTGTGCTGTTAAGAAGGTCCATCTGTATATTGGGATACTTCAATGTCCTACTTTTCGGGAATTTCTGCAATGTCCAAACCAAATAGCTCTTTATGCAGTGCAATCTTGCTACTGTCATTCCATGCAGGTTCGTCCGTGACCAGCAAAGTCTACAACGATAGTTTAATCATTAGAATCCAAAAATGCTAACTGCTTTTCGTTTTGCTCTCTGGTTTCTCTCTTTCCAGCAGGCAATATCCTGTACTATACACTGGAGTATAGTATGGTGAATTCTCAGTCATCTGTGCAGAGAGTCAAGGTCAATATCAGTACAGCAATGTTACAATACAACATCACTGGACTACTGAACAACAGTGATGTTCTGATTACAGTGTTTGCTGTCAACTCTGCTGGTCCTGGACCTGGTGTCACTACACGTGTCAGAACAATGGGATTTGGTGGAGAGCGTAAAATGCCTACGTCACCCTATACTCAGCCCAACACTGCAGTCTACTGCATAATGCCAACTGATCATGATTGGACGGCATATGTTGGAAGTTCTTTCAGCCCTGAGACCATTATGATGATGGGAAACCACTTCCCAGCAGGTTCATCGGTAAACTTGACATGCAAGGATGGGTTGTTTGTATCAGGAAATCCATCACAACAGCATCAAGTCGTCACGTGCCAAGAGAACGGGATGTGGAGTGTCATAATTGTAGCATGCTCAGGTAAAATAATATGGATACAAATGCGTACAATTTGAAATCGAGTACGTGTGCTTTCCTCATTATTACTAGTATCAATAGTCTGTAATCCCCAGAGTGCGTAACTTCACTTATCAGGTCGATTACATCCCGCGACATCGCGTCCACTACAGCGCGAGGCATTTCAGCGCGACCACTTCAGCGCAAGGCATTTCAGCACGAGGTAGTGTCAGCGCGAGGCACTTCAGCGCGAGGCACTTCAGCGCGAGGTAACGTCAGCGCCAGGCACTTCAGCGTATATATGGCAGCGCGAAGCACTTTCGCGCATACTAAAGTACGCGGTACTGTGTCGATGGTGCCATCCCTCAACACCGTTGTTGGTCCTGACGTCCCTTCCATGGCAGCACCACAGCGACATCGGAACGCTAGCATTCTCAATCCACTGTGTCCGCATGTAATCTGTCAATTGTTGAAGGTTTAAATCAGAGGTGATCTCCTCCAACCAATCGAAGGCGGCTGTGACCTGGTCTTCTGGCAGGAATGGCAATGCCATCAGTTGACGGCAGCAGTCCTGTAGGTCACCACCAGCATTGTAAAGATCCTGCATGCCGGCTGCTTGAATCTTTCTCCAGATCACCTGAGTGAAATGGAACAGACAACCTGTCGACTTGGCGGGGTTGAGAGGAGGTAGTCCTTGGCTGTCTCAAATCGGTTCAATTCCATTTTTGAGAGGTAGCTTGCATAGGAAAATTAAGGAAAATTATGGCCTATCCCCAAAAATACTGTCTCTTTTATAGGGCGCCTGGTGTACATCGAAGTGGTAATACCCTGTGCAAGTTGTCAAGAGAGACGGGTCGCACACTGGAGACGAGACTGGAGGAACACAACGGTGAAGCTCGTAGGCGCACTGTGGATAAGCCATGGGGTGACCACATGCGTTGCCAGCAATCGCATGTCACCACGTACTTTGAAAATCAACATAATTTTTCGAATCGACCTTTTTTCCGGATCACTTTTCAACGAGGACGAAGCAAAGTCGGCCGAACGAAGCCTAGAGGAAGAAAATCACCCTCTCCACTTCACCATCACGATACTGACATAGATACGAGATGAAACAACTAAAAAATCCGCAAGAAAACTGTACGGCCATCATCGCGCTGACTTTGGTCTGACTTTGGTCTGAGAATTTCTATCACGATCAAAAATGTACGAGGAGCACTCAAAAATAAGCCACAGACGTACCTTTATCGCTCTCTACTCCTTTTTCAAGGCACAAAAGTCGAGTCTCCACTTTCAAACCAGGAACCAGACATACCAGTGGTCCTTTTCAGCTGCTCCACGAGCGCAGGAAAGGTTCACCAAGGGGCGCAGAGCAGCATCCATTCCAGAAAAAGACCTAAAATACGAGTGAGACTGCATGACTGAGTACATGAGTACATGTATGAGTACATGCAGAAAATAGTCAATTTCAGCGTTTCTGCTCCAAACAGCAACTAGCTTCGACTAGAAACAAAGATTACACCAAAGGATCAAACAACAACCATTTTCTGCAGTTTTTTTGCAGATGGCTTCCTTGTGCTCGGCCCAGCACGCCAAAAATCACACCTCGGAGGAGTACAAAAATTACAACTCTCAGATGTCCTCGATTGCTGGCCATGGCGAGCTAAGCATGCAGGGATCAACCTAGGTGTCGGGGACAGCATCCTCTCGGCAGTATCTGTGGTTGCAAGAGCCAGTGACAGGGCAAGCCGCAAATTGCGAGAGGCAGTGGAGATCAGAAACGAAGGCCCAGAGATCAACACCAGTGCTGGATGGTCATTACTCTAAAACAGTCACACCACACTGGCTATCTAGGTGACAGTATTTTCTGGAAAACACTGACATGGTAACATTCGTGTATTGCTTGCGAGAAACCTGTTCAAGACATTTCTCAAGTTATCTTGTGACATCTGCGCTGTGCTAACTTATTACCAACACCCAGCATATGAGTCAACTTATTACCAACACCCAGCATATGAGTCAGTGAAAACTTGTGATCTTTCACTAGTTTTAAACATGTCATATTTCTAGCACTGAGGTAACATGTGCAGTCATAGAAATATTATCAACACCTAAAAACACCAAATTTGTGTATATAACTGCTCCTTGGCAGACTTCCACTTCATATTGCATCCTGATGATTGCAATTTGCCGAAACGTTGAAAATGATTCTGTAAAATGAAATGAGTTGTGAATTTGAAGTGCCCAGGGAATGAGCATGTGTGCTCACCAATTCTTTTCAAGTTGTCAATAGTCATTGATAGTCACTAATAGGCACTAATTGGTGCCCGTACGTACATTAACATGTACGGCGCTGAAGTGCCTCCCGCGGAAAAAATCTGCGCTGAAGAAATTGGCGCTGACATGTCCTGCGCTTTAAAATTTCGTGCTGAAATCATTGGCGCTGTCAAGACACGGCGCTGAAATGGCACCGAGCTGAAATGCCTCTCGCTAAGGCGGTCGCGCTGAAGTGCACCGCGCTAACATGGACGCGCTGTCGCGGGACGTTGCCATCAGATCTGGGACGGCGAAATCCGTATAGGACGACATAGTATGACATCATGAGTAGGGGAAGTGTGGACCGTGGTGGACCGTTTTGATAGAATGACACAAGTCCGACACAAAAATTGACGTACATCACGGATTACGCCGTCCCGCAACCCCATCCGAGTTGCGCACTCTGGGGGGGGGGGGGGGGGTATGTACTCTTGCTAGTATAATATTATTATCATTGGCTTGACCAAAGGATACTCATCTGAAGGATGATTGTGTTCACCTAATCTAGTTGCAGGCTTGCAGCGCAAAAGCCAATGATAGCAAACAAGAAACGAAGAAAACCCGTAAGGCGACCCATCGATAACAGAAAAGACCCATTTTGGACGGAACGTTTTTTTAAGAATTCACCAGTGCTGTGTAGTTAAAGCGAGCACGCAGTTGTACACAAGAAGCGTGGATCGGTTTTCTTCTTTATTCTTTGCTGCAAACATCTCATTATTTTCTCTATTCGTTTTCCAGTAATGTTCCGGCATCGGTCCGCCTTGCTGCTTCACCAAGTCAATTTTGTATCGCAATCCTAGATTGGCTAGGGTACCCCGTAAGGAGACCATAGGTCTGTGGGGACTGCCCTAGAGAAATATGAATAAATCCTATACTTCACTAGTCTGAGGGAAAGAGAAATCCTATACTACTATACTATGTTCGCCTTGCTGCGTCGAACGGTATGCCACTGTACCTTGTGCCTGAATGTTATCACATAGCATTGTGCGGACCATGATACAATGAGCACTTGTCTGATGGTTGCGAATGATTATATAGAATTGTAATTTGTAAACACGGTACTATTTTGCCGGCATGTGATTGATTTAGGCTGCGTTTACACGGAGACGGAAACGAAACGAAACGGATCGGAACCAAAACGTGCTGCCCTCGAATCGTTTTCAAACCGTTTAAACGAAAACAGAAAGAGGACAATCAGGCTGGCGCTGGGATGCGCTGGCCTGGTGCAAGGGCGGGAAGTAACACGCTAGTTGGAGCTGGCTAGCTCATGAACGCTGTTAGTGTACGTTGTTTTAATATTTCCCGTACGTGCAGAATGGTTTCCATGACCGCATTCCGTTTCCAATCGTGTTCACTGTTTACACGAGAACGAAAACGTTTTGAAAACGTTTCAAAACACATTGAAGGAAAAAAATAAAAAAATAAAGTAGAAAGGAAAAGGACATAATGGATACGAGTTAAGAGTAACTGTCCATCACTGTAACTGGATACTATATACAGTCAAAAAGTGCAATAACTAGGCACTCGTTTTCGTTGCGCTTGCCTTACCCTCTTTGGTCTTTTCATAACCTTGAACCTTCCAAGTTGGAAGGCTGTCGGTTAGCGCTACGGAGACGTGGTGAAGCTAGGTGTCAGGACGTCGAATGTCTCAGTACTCTTGTCAGTTTTGTGCCTAGTTATTGCACTTTTTGACTGTATATAGTATCCAGTTACAGTGATGGACAGTTACTCTTAACTCGTATCCATATGTCCTTTTCCTTTCTACATTTATTTATGGCTCAACATCCGAGTTTCAAAAAATAAAGTGCGTTTCCATTTCTTTCCGTTTTGGGTGCGTTTTCAGGCGTTGTTGTGTAAACGATAGTAGTAAACGCAACGATTTCGTTCCATTTCGGTCGTACTTCGTTGTCGTGTAAACGCAGCCTTAGTCATGAAATATCCCAAGAAATAATGATTTTCAACAATTTCAACAATTCAAGTGTAGTACAAATGCCAACTCATGGTGTGGAAACGGTTGGATTGTTTTGCTGTTCTAATGATTACTTGGCACTGAAGCTGAGTGGCTCATTGAGATGAACTAAGAAGTCTCTATTTGCGTTCTTTGTCACTCTGTCATGCCAGCAACAGAGCGGAACGCATCTGAGGATCTAACGGTTGTCTTGGTTGCATCGAAGTCTCCAACAATGGTCGTAGGGCTGGTTTTGGGACTAGCTTTATTCTTCTGCATCGTCGTCATCTCCGTACTTATTGCTAAGAAATGTGAGTGCGCTGCGCTGGAATACCTTCACATGTAACTGTGGTACTTGGAGTAGAATTTATGACAGGTGCTCTGTTCTTGTCACTCACCATCCTATTTGGTTGCAGTCAACCCCCTTGCCCATGGATCTGCACACCTATTGAAGCATGCATCCTTATCAGCATATCAGCAGATTATAGAACCGTGAACATTTTCGAATGGGCACATCAACAATTTTCCCATGCACCTCCATCATTATTCTACTGCAGAATATCATGACTGGCCGCTATCCCCCTTTTTTTCCTTTTTAGAATCCTAAATTCTGTTCTAGAACGATCTCCAGCAAGACAGTACGTGCATGAACCCATGTTAGTCATGCGCTGGTTTACCAGCCAAATTGCTAACCTGATTGTGTTTATCTACACAACACGACCGATGGTAGCAGGTGTTAACACTGATATTCAATCAAGTAAGTTTCTTGCAATTCCAACAACACAGCCCCCCCCTCCCCATTGTCGTAATCAGTGGGGAAAATGACCCAGGTCTTTTTTGTCATGTGATGAAGTTCTAATACCCCCCCCCCCCCCTCCGCCCTGCTGTGCTGGCCATGTCCATGTGATAAGCACGGGAAGGTAGAACTGAAAGTATCCTTGAAGTCCTAGAGGCATCTCCCGGTCAACACCTCTAGGTGAGGCAACGATTGTGTATGCAGTCATGTACAGTAAAACCTGTCTCACCTGTCCCGCAAGACCACTGAAACCTGGACCGAGGGATGCTATGTCCGGTCAAATGACCCTGGATAAGCAGACCACCTGGTAACAGAGAAATTTGTGAAGGTCCCTTGAGCGGTGGCCTTGGACAGGTCTCACTGTACTCCACTTGGATTGTGTTCAGACGTATTGGGAACAAGAGCACAAGCACTCCGCCAGCAATTCAACAATCAACCTCAGGATTGGAAATCAACCCCATAATACCATTGCACACGTACACACCATGTACACATGCACACACCTACACATATACACATGCACACACATACATACACATGCACACACATACATGCACACACACATACACATGCACACACACACCTACACACACATACACATGCACACACATACACATGCACACACATACACATGTACACACACATACACATGCACACACACATACATACACATGCACACATGCACACATGTATACACGTACTACTACTACTACTACTACTACTACTACTACTACTACTACTACTACTACTACTACTACTACTACTACTACTACTACTACTACTACTACTGCTACTGCTACTGCTACTGCTACTGCTACTGCTACTGCTACTGCTACTGCTACTGCTGCTGCTGCTGCTGCTGCTGCTGCTGCTGCTGCTGCTGCTGCTGCTGCTGCTGCTGCTGCTGCTGCTGCTGCTGCTGCTGCTGCTGCTGCTGCTGCTGCTGCTGCTGCTGCTGCTGCTGCTGCTGCTGCTGCTGCTGCTGCTGCTGCTGCTGCTGCTACTGCTACTGCTACTGCTACTACTACTACTACTATGTACAGCTACCCTATCGGGCCACGCCGCTCCCAGAAGCGGGAGACAACGACAAGAAGAGAGAAGAGAAGAGAGAGAAATCGCAAGGTCAACAATATTCGGCATGGCGTTGCAAGTCCTGTGGCCTTGAGAACCGTCTCGCATTCATGACGGCAGTTGTTCCTGGCTGCACGTGACATCCGTTTCGCACGGTCACAGTGATGACGGCTCAAACCAGAACGAGAGCGGAAAGAGCGGCGACAAACATCACATCGAAAAGAGTCAGATTCATGGCGAATAGATACAGTGGGGACATCCGTGGACACAGGACAGCGATGCACAGCCAGTCCTCCAGTGCTCCTCAACCACCGCATGCACTTCATACATTGCATGTATGTATGTATGTATACACGTACACACACATGCACACCCGACCGTACACACATACACACACATACACTTGTACTTGTACTTGTTGCTCACTGCCAAAACTGGTCACGTGGGTCTCCCCGGGAGAGGGGAGAGAGACTCAAAAGGAATCTTGGAAAGATGGCTCTATTGGCTATTGAACCGCCCAACGGCCGACACCCCCTGAAATCCCCAAAACTCTGGGTGGACTTGAAAATGATCCCACTTATGGGCTCACCACACCTCAGTAAGTGGGTGAGGACAAGGTGCAGAAAAAGGATTGACGGCATCAGGGTATCCGTCCCGGGATCCAACTGCAGTTACCCCTGCCCCCAGTGAAGGTAATACTTGCTACTAGTGTGGGTGGCTAAATCAGAGTGAATCTGATATAAGCGTCACTAGCACCATTGATTACACAAGAGTTAATCTAGCCAGAAGCAGTCCATGGTTAACAGGTATGTATACTTCAAATAGAAAGTATATGAACCCTGAAACCAACAAAGGTGGCAGATACAACAATACACCATCATGCAGCCGAGCCTGTTGGCAACAGACCCAACACAATCAGGCATCAGTGTACCCACCAATCGAACTAGCTGGCACATGCACACATGTACACACGTACACACACATGCACACCCGACCGTACACACATACACACACATCAACCACAGTCAAGTGCTGTTGATCACTGTTTCAAGCGTAAGCTTCATCATTGGTACACTTCACCTATCATACCTATCAGTCATCACTGGTGAATTCCAGCTAGCAACCCTATTGATGACAAGGAAAGTGGCAAATCATAAGTCGAATGAACCATTGAAGTACTGCAGATAGACGTTCTAGCGGGCTCTGGGATATGAACCCGGAGTTGGTGTCAAAACAGGTAGCGTTGCCCCGAACTTTGCCTTCGTTCAGCTCCGAAAACAGCAAAATGTTACTTGCGCATCGTCTCCATTCTTCCCCCACAACAGCGATTTGTAGCTCTCGTCCACAGACGTTCAAGTGCTTGTACATCGTAGTTGTTGAAAATACGCTGCTGCATCGAATATATCAAGCCGTCACTTAATCAGGCGCGCCGAAATCGGTCCGGTTGGTCAGGTCATCACCGGACAAAACTGTTATTTTTTTCATGTTGAAGAGGTTATGTTTACCCACTATCATGCACAAAGTACTGTCCTGGACATGGAAATCCGGTCGGAGGTCAAGCGGCCCCAGGGCGCTGGCCATGCAGCGTTCTGCACGCACACGATCAACAGCGTTCTGTACGCACTGACGACGCCGGCCCTAGTCATTCGACCGGATTTCCATGTCCACGACAGGATGAAAGGGCTCCAGTATGGACATACCAATCAACAACTGCTTTTGACGGTTTTACATGACTGCTGCGATTCCCCTTCACGGCTGAAGTATTGGTATGGCGGTGTTAGGTTCACAAACCATACTTGGGCGTCCATGACGCGTATATCCAGCAAAGGGTGTTTTTGGCTGCATCGAACCGAATATACTCTCAATTGTCGATTTTTGAATCGCCAGTCTTGTTGGCCCAGGATATCCCTTGCTCCTTGTCATTGCCTTATGGTGCCGCTTATCCACGATCAAGAGCAAGGTAGAATAGAATCTTGAGCCGGGTGGGTTTGGAGCTCATTAGACTCATTGTGTAGTGATAACCCCCCCCCCCCCTCCCCCCGGGTGGTGTTGACATTGTGTAGTGATAATACCCCCCCCCCCCCGGGTGGTGTTGACATTGTGTAGTGATAATACCCCCCCTGGGTGGTGTTGACATTGTGTAGTGATAATACCCCCTCCCCCCCCCCCGGTGGTGTTGACATTGTGTAGTGATAATAACCCCCCCCCCCCCCGGTGGTGTTGACATTGTGTAGTGATAATACCCCCTCCCCTCCCCCCCCCCCCCGGTGGTGTTGACATTGTGTAGTGATAATAACCCCCCCCCCCCCCCCCCGGTGGTGTTGACATTGTGTAGTGATAATACCCCCCCCCCGGTGGTGTTGACATTGTGTAGTGATAATAACCCCCCCCCCCCCGGTGGTGTTGACATTGTGTAGTGATAATAACCCCCCCCCCCCGGTGGTGTTGACATTGTGTAGTGATAATACCCCCTCCCCCCCCCCCCCGGTGGTGTTGACATTGTGTAGTGATAATAACCCCCCCCCCCCCCCGGTGGTGTTGACATTGTGTAGTGATAATAACCCCCCCCCCCCCGGTGGTGTTGACATTGTGTAGTGATAATACCCCCTCCCCCCCCCCCCCCCCCGGTGGTGTTGACATTGTGTAGTGATAATAACCCCCCCGTGGTGTTGACATTGTGTAGTGATAATAACCCCCCCCCCGGTGGTGTTGACATTGTGTAGTGATAATAACCCCCCCCCCCCCCCCCCCCGGGCGGTGTTGACTCGCTTGATCAGATTTCAGTTAGCAGCACTGTGCAAAGACTCTGCGTAATGATTGTAGATCTACTGGCGCAAGGGTTAGCACGAATATCAACACATGCACGAACCTGTGCATGAACTACACGTGCTACTCACTTCCAGAAACTAGCAACATAGGTCTCTCCGGAAGAGGAAGAGAGGTCCGAAAAGCATCTTGGAAAATTAAACTCAACTGTAGAATCACCCAATAGCTGATACCCTGAATCCGGTAGAACTAATACTTGAAATCACTCCCATGTTCTCACCACACCAGGATACCTACATGTACATGTAAGTTCAGAAAATGGGCTGACAGCGTCAGTGTATCGTCCTTGTAGACGATAGCATTGTCCCCCAATCCGCATGTGAAGATCATGTAATGCTTGGCTTGACATGTACGCACTGTAGCTGATACTTGATCCTGGTGTGATATGCTATATCAGATTGTATTTAAAGAGTCGGCGTGGAGAAAGCAATTTTATTAGTGCAATTAAGAGTATAATCGATGCAGACATGCCCAGACAACAACGAGTTCATGGAAATGTTTAAGGATTTTTATGTTATTCAAAATCGATTTTCGTGTTCCGCTCATCAGTGAATAGTATCGGAACTGAGGGTACTGTGTACAAAAAATAGAACATTTTTTAACAGCATAATTAAAAGTGTGAACAAAAAAAAGGAAGTGCTAAACTGTCCCTCCAGGAAATCGCGATTCCACGGACGCAACAAATTTCGCGATTTTGGCCCAAACCCGCGATTTTCCGAAAAATCCGCGATTTCCCGCGTTTTTTGTTGTTTTCTGCACTTCTTTTGACATTTTTCTGCACTTTTCACGCAGTATACAGTGCTTTCCATGATCCTGCTCGTAGGTTATTTCCACAGTACGCAAATAGCGATTCTAAGGATACAACAAATTTCGTGATTTGGCCCAAATCCGCAATTTTCTGCCAATAATTCCGCGAGTTCCTGGCAAGTTCCGCACTTTTCGCCGCATTTTTTGTTGT